CCACTGCTCTCTTCTGAGATCTGTGTCTCTCTCTTCACTGGGAAGAGGCCGCGGCACAAGGGGTCATGAATTCTTAACTGGAGAGGCCGAGGACAGCGAATCTGGAAAGTAGACTAGGCTAAGCAATTAAAATAATTTATCATTCTCAGAGCCTCTTTCAGGGAGTTGATAGTCATGTTCTTTAGTGCAACCGATGGATCTGATCTGTTCTGCAAAATGGGGTCAAAGAGGTGTGTTCTTTTTTTTAAATATATTTTATTGATTTTTTACAGAGAGGAAGGGAGAGGGATAGAGAGTTAGAAACATCAGTGAGAGAGAAACATCCATCAGCTGCCTCCTGCACACCCCCTACTGGGGATGTGTCCGCAACCAAGGTACATGCCCTTCACGGGAATAGAACCTGGGACCCTTCAGTCCGCAGGCCGACGCTCAATCTACTGAGCCAAACCCGTTAGGGCGAAGAGGTGTGTTCTTAAAAAAATGATTATCTTAGAACAGAAGACTAAACCCGACTCAAACATTTTTAAAGGCGAGCAAGAAGACAGGAAAGAAACACTGACCCTGGCTGTTTAAATGAAGATTTCTCTTGTTATAACCGAACATGAGACCTGGCCCATTGCAGAAACAAATATCAATATGTAGCAAACTGCAGACCACTGTTTAATGAGGATCCTTGCACGTGGCCTTCCCAACCATGAGGACGCCTTTCTCCATGTTGTGCTCTCCTTGCTGTATTTTGCTTGTACCCTAAATGCCCATGGGGGCAGGAGCATAGGATAAACTTCTGTATTTTCACCAAGTCACAGGCATGAGATTAGCTCCTCCAAACAGGAGCCCTCACTACATCTAAAACTAGGATGGAGGATATTAGAGAACACATCAATCGAGGTGTAATCAGGGAGAGAGAATCCCTGGCTTTTAAAGAAGATCCTGGTGATAAGCCATTTGATTAAAGCTACACACACACACACACACCATTCATTTACAAACTCAAAATTGTAAAATTATGGCCAACCTAGAGTTGAACCTGAATTCTCTGTTCTAATGCCTATATATTTATAGTTGATAATGTTATGACTAGATAGTTTGACAACCCTACCCTACACACTTCCCTATGGGATTGGAAGACTCTTTTTTTTTTTTTTAATATATTTTATTGATTTTTTACAGAGAGGAAGGGAGAGAGATAGAGTCAGAAACATCGACGAGTGAGAGACATCGATCAGCCGCCTCCTGCACACCTCCCACTGGGGATGTGCCCGCAACCCAGGCACACGCCCTTGACCGGAACCGAACCCGGGACCCTTCAGTCCGCAGGCCGACGCTCTATCCACTGAGCCAAACCGGTCTCGGCGGGATTGGAAGACTCTTAAGACACTCACTGGTGTCCACAAGGGGGCAGTATGTCACACAGAAGAAGCTACGGTGTCTGTTACCAAAAATCAATTTTATTCCTGTAATTTGACCCTGTGTCTCCCAGACTTCCCCTTATATGGAATTGGATCTGACTTAGGCATTCGGTGGAACAAAGGATATAAAAACCTGTCTTCTTCATCCTCCAAAATGGCTTTATAAAGCCAGTGGGACATAATGCTATGGTTTTTTTTTCCAAGTGCAAGAAAAAAACACTTTATAGCTGAACGTGCTTATTTGAGCAGACCTAAAACAGCTTCAGAATTGTGTGACGTTACATAACAATAACAGCTTTCTACTGTCCTTGCTCTTCAAAAACCACACCTGGAGCATTTTTAAAGCTTCAGACCAAAGTAAACATATCTGAAAACTCCAGATAGTCAAACAACTGGTTCCACCTCTTCCACCACTGTACGTGCAGGCACACCTGGGGGCTTATGGCCTGCTAGAACTGAACAGGCTCTCATGGAAAGCTCACACTTAACACTGCTTTCCTCCATACTGTAGTCCCCTATGCTGGCCCCAGTTTCTACGGGTGCACGTTTGGTGTTTTGCCTCTGAGACTACAAAATGGGAAGAAGGAGAGGAGCCCAATGGTGCAGAATCCATGGATTCTCTGTGTCACGCATTTTCTCTTCATGAGTGGGGACAGGGTCTTTTCTCCACTGGGATTTAGAGCTTTCGGGAAAGGCTGATCCACAGCTACCAAAGCAAGAAGTTGGCTAAAGGTCTGGAAAGCTTATGAAACAGAGGAGGGTCTGTTTTTCCTTCTGCTACTAGGGACTTAAGGGAATTGGAGGAATTAGGATTTTCCTTTTTAAAAATTCACTGTATATTCGCATCTCAAGACATGGTCTTCCACCTTAACTATTTCTTCCTCAAAATAACCCTTGAGGAGACACAAATGGGAAATATTGGCTAACCCAAAAAAGTATTTTTCTAATTAAAAAGAAAAAAAGAATCTATGTATGATTCAAGCATTTGGAAGTTTGTGGTCAATAAAATTAAGGTAGTTTCCTACCAGGATAGCACCTCCCATCTCTCCCTCTCACCCCTCCCACAAGCACCCTTCCCTCCCTCACCACACCCCACCCCCAGCAAGTATTAGCAGGGGCCCTTGTAGAGAGAGGGGGGGAGGGAAGGGCAGAAGATGAACTTCTAACATGAAGTAAATATGTCCATACACTCATAGCAAGAAGCAGTGACAAGTGGTACTTGGGAATCTTTCTGGATAAAAGCCTTTCTAAGCCTCGCCAGTGTGGCTCAGTGAATAGAGGGGCAGCCTGCACACCAAAGGGTCATAGGTTCAATGTCCAGTCAAGGGCACAAATGTACTGGGGTTGCAGGTTAGATCCCCAGCCCAGATGGGGCTATGCAGAAGGCAACCAACTGATGTGTTTCTCTCACATCGATGTTTCTCTCTCTCTACCTTCCTCTCTCTCTCCCCCACTCCTTCCTCTCTCCTTTCCACGCTCTAAAAAATCAATGGCAAAAATACCCTCAGGTGAATATTAACAAAACAAAAAATACATATATTTTCTGACCAAAATATATGAACCACTACAGAAATTAAAGAGTTGTAACAAAACTACCAACCAATGTAAGGCTTCCAGCTTCTTTTCGGGCAGCTAACAAAGTGCTAGCTCTCCTAGGGCCCATCAGTAGAATGAAGTGGGCTTTGGAGGGCCACATCAAAGGAACGCAGAGGGATCAGGGCGGCCCTGTGCTGGTTCTTCATTTCCCTCAATGCCACAAAGTAGGGCCTGGAACCCGGCAAGCAGGTGAGACAGGCTCTGTCCTACAGGCTACTTCCTGAGGCTACGCATGGCATGCGTTTTGGCCCTAACCGCAGAACCCTGCACTCTGAACTGGGAAGTCCAGCAGTTCTGGACAGGTGTTACTCTAAGGAAAGGCCCGGGTTCATTCTGGAACCCAGCCTGTGATCACTCCACGCCGACCTGCACTGCTGCTGCCTCCCTCCTTGCTCCCACCCCTTCTGAAGTGTTGCTTCAGGTCAGCCCTGCGATAAACTGGGCAGGAACTGAAAGTAGAAAGAGGAAAAGAAAAATAGAAAGGCACTTAAGATCCAAGAGCTAGAACAACAAGTTTTCTAATTAGAAAGAGAGCTGAATGGATGAAATAGGAAGGTGATGAGGAAGAGCCTTCCAGAGTCAACTCCACAATGAGTGTATCTCCCAGTGCAGGAGGGAAACACTACTGGGAGAGCTACTGGCCCAGGAATAACAATTAATGCCAAAAAGTGGGCTTATTAATACTTAATTACATCTTTGGAACAAGATAACGTTTGCAGAAATCGGAGAGAAAACTTATCTACTGGGGTATGGAACGGTGTTCCGACTTCCAAAAAATAGATCAAAGAAAAAGAATTTTTTAAAAACACAGATGACAATAAAGCAAGAAGAACTGGGTCTGTGTAACTCGCTCAGTGTCACAGCCAGCACAAGGCCATGTGCAGAACGAGCCAGCGCACAGCACAGTGTGTGTGATGCTTCAGACTCGGGGAACACAACAGCGGGGCGAGGCAAGGGGAGACG